GTTAGCGCAGTTGTTGTACCACCACGCACCGTGATTAAGAGAGCATTTCTTACCTGTTGGAGAGAACATTTTGAGTGTTTACCTCATTACCACCTGTCCTGGGAGTGTCTCTATCATTACCACCTGTCCTGGGAGTGTCTCTATCATTACCACCTGTCATGGGAGTGTCTGTCTCATTACCACCTGTCCTGGGAGTGTCTACATCATTACCACCTGTCCTGGGAGTGTCTACATCATTACCACCTGTCATGGGAGTGTCTCTATCATTACCACCTGTCCTGGGAGTGTCTACATCATTACCACCTGTCCTGGGAGTGTCTACATCATTACCACCTGTCATGGGAGTGTCTCTATCATTACCACCTGTCCTTGGAGTGTCTCTATCATTACCACCTGCCCTGGGAGTGTCTCTATCATTACCACCTGCCCTGGAAGTGTCTCTATCATTACCACCTGCCTTGGGAGTGTTTCTATCATTACCACCTGTCCTGGGAGTGTCTACATCATTACCACCTGTCCTGGGAGTGTCTCTATCATTACCACCTGTCCTGGGGAGTGTCTCTATCATTACCACCTGTCACCAGGAGTGTCTCTATCATTACCACCTGCCCTGGTGTCTCTATCATTACCACCTGCCCTGGGATGTCTCTATCATTACCACCTGTCTCATAGTAGTGTCTCTATCATTCTACCACCTGTCTGGGGTGTCTCTATCATTGCCACCTGTCCTGGAAGTGTCTATCATTGCCACCTGCCCTGGGAGTGTCTCTATCATTACCACCTGCCTGGAGTGTCTCTCTCATTACCACCTGTCATAAGTGTCTCTATCATTACCACCTGTCTGGGGTGTCTCTATCATTACCACCTGTCCTGGGAGTGTCTCTATCATTGCCACCTGTCCTGGGAGTGTCTCTATCATTACCACCTGCCTGGGAGTGTCTATCTCATTACCACCTGTCCTGGGAGTAATACCTATCATTACCACCTGTCCTGGAGTGTCTCTATCATTACCACCTGCCTGGTGTCTCTATCATTACCACCTGCCCTGGGAGTGTCTCTATCATTACCACCTGTCCTGGGAGTGTCTCTATCATTACCGCCTGTCTGGGGAGTGTCTCTATCATTACCACACACTGCCTGGGGAGTGTCTCTATCATTACCACCTGTCCTGGGGTGTCTCTATCATTACCACCTGCCTGGAGTGTCTCTGCTCCATTACCACCTGTCCATAGTGTCTCCATCATTACCACCTGCCTAGGAGTGTCTCTATCCATTACCACCTGCCTAGGGTAATACCTATCGTACCACCTGTCTGGGAGTGTCTCTATCATTACCGCCTGTCCTGGGAGTGTCTCTATCATTACCTGCCTGGGGTGTCTCTATCATTACCACCTGTCCTCAAGTGTCTCCTATCGTACCACCTGCCTGGAAGTGTCTCTATCATTACCACCTGTCTGGGAGTGTCTCTATCATTACCCACCTGCCCCTGGGAGTGTCTCTATCATTACCACCTGCCCTGGAGTGTCTCTATCATTACCACCTGTCTGGGGAGTGTCTATCATTACCTGTCCTGGGAGTGTCTCTATCATTACCACCTGCCCTGGGAGTGTCTCTATCATTGCTACCACCTGTCCTGGGAATTGTCTCTATCATTACCACCTGTCTGAGAGTGTCTCTATCATTACTGCCTGTCTTAAGTGTCTCTATCATTGCCACCTGTCCTGGGAGTGTCTCATTACCACCTGTCTGGGAGTCTCTCTATCATTACCACCTGTCCTGGGGAGTGTCTATATCATTACCACCTGTCATAGGAGTGTCTCTATCATTACCTGCCTGGGGAGTGTCTGTCTCATTACCACCTGCCTGGGGGTGTCTATATCATATCCACCTGCCCTGGGGTGTCTCTATCATTACCACCTGTCTGGGAGTGTCTCTCTCAGCTACCACCTGTCCTGGGAGTGTCTCTATCATTTACCACCTGTCTGGAGTGTCTATCATTGCACTGTCCTGGAGTGTCTATATCATATCCACCAGCCCTGGGAGTGTCTCTATCATTACCACCTGCCTGGGAGTGTCTCTATCATTACCACCTGCCCGCAAGTGTCTGTCTCATTACCACCTGCCTGGGGTGTCTCTATCGTACCACCTGCCCTGGGAGTGTCTCTATCATTACCACCCCTGCCTGGGAGTAATATATCATTACCACCTGTCCACCAAGTGTCTCTGTCATTACCACCTGCCTGGGAGTGTCCTGTCTCATTACCACCTGTCCTGGGGAGTGTCTCTATCATTTACCACCTGCCTGGGAGTGTCTATCTCATTACCACCTGTCCTGGGAGTGTCTCTATCATTACCACCTGTCCTGGGAGTGTCTCTATCATTGCCACCTGCCTGAGTGTCTCTATCATTACCACCTGTCCTGGGAGTGCTCTGCTCTCGGCCTACCTGTCCTGGGGAGTGTCTCTATCATTACCACCTGCCCCCTGGGAGTGTCTCCTATCATTACCACCTGTCCTAAGTGTCTCTATCATTACCACCTGTCCTGGAGTGTAATCTCTATCGACACCTGTCCTCAGGGTGTCTCTATCATTGCCACCTGTCCTGGAAGTGTCTCTATCATTTACCACCTGCCTGGGGAGTGTCTCTATCATTACCACCTGTCCTGGGGAGTGTCTCTATCATTACTACCTGTCCTGGGGTGTCTCTCTCATTACCACCTGTCCTGGGGTGTCTCTATCATTACCACCTGCCCCTGGGGTGTCTCTATCGTACCACCTGTCCTGGGAGTGCTCTATCATTACCACCTGTCTGGGAGTGTCTTATGAACACACACACTGTCTGGGAGTGTCTCTATCATTACCCACCTGCCCTGGGGTGTCTCTATCATTACCACCTGTCCTGGGGTGTCTATCGTACCTGTCTGGGGTGTCTCTCTATCATTACCACCTGTCCTGGGGTGTCTCTATCATTACCACCTGCCTGGGGAGTGTCTCTATCATTACCTGTCACCAGGGTGTCTCTCTCATTACCACCTGCCTGGGAATTATTGTCTATCGTACCACCTGTCCTGGGAATGTCTTTGCTCCATTACACTGTCCTGGCAGTGTCTCTATCATTACCACCTGTCTGGGGTGTCTTTATCATTACCCACCTGTCCTGGCAGTGTCTCTATCATTACACCTGTCATGAGGTGTCTACATCATTACCACATCACCAAAGTGTCTCTATCATTACACCTGTCACCAGGAGTGTCTCCTATCTGCTTTCCCCTGTCCTGGGGAATTCTCTGCATCATTACCACCTGCCCTGGGGTGTCTCTATCATTACCACCTGTCCTGGTAGTGTCTCTATCATTACCACCTGTCACCAAATTATCTGCATCATTACCACCTGTCATGGGAGTGTCTCCATCATTACCACCTGTCCTGGGGAGTGTCTCTATCATTACCACCTTGTCTGGGGTGTCTCTATCATTACCACCTGTCACAGGTGTCTGCATCATTACCACCTGCCTGGGAGTGTCTCTGTCATTACCACTGTCCTGGTAGTGTCTATCCGTACCACCTGTGCAAGTGTCTACATCATTACCACCTGCCCTGGGAGTGTCTCTGTCATTACCACCTGTCCTGCTTGGTGCATCTATCATTACCACCTGTCCTGGGAGTGTCTCCATCATGCCTGTCTGTAGGAGTGTCATCATTACCACCTGTCTGCAGTGTCTCTATCATTACCACCTGTCCTGGGAGTGTCTGCATCATTACACCTGTCCTGGGGTGTCTACATCATTACCACCTGTCCTGGAAGTGTCTCTATCATTACCACCTGCCCTGGGGTGTCTCTCTCCATTTTACCACCTGTCTGGGGTGTCTCTCTCATTACCACTGTCCTGGGGAGTGTCTATCATTGCACCTGCCTTGGGAGTATATATCATTTACCCACTTGCAGGGAGTGTCTCTTGTCATTACCACCTCTGGGGTGTCTCTATCATTACCACCACCTGCCCGCAAGAGTGTCTCTATCATTACCACCTGTCACCAGTGTCTCTATCATTACCACCTGCCTGGGAGTGTCTCTATCATTACCACCAGTCCTGGGAGTGTCTCTATCATTACCACCTGTCCTGGGAGTATATCGACACCCACCTGTCACAAGTGTCTCTATCATTACCACCTGTCCTGGGAGTGTCTCTATCATTACCACCTGTTAGTGTCTCTATCATTACCACCTGTCTGGGAGTGTCTCTATCATTACCATCTGCCTGGGAGTGTCTCCTATCATTACCACCTGCCCTGAAATTAATGCTCTCTCATTACCACCTGTCGCAGAGTGTCTCTATCATTACCACCACCTGTCCTGGGAGTGTCTCTATCATTACCTACCTGTCCTGGGGTATCTCCTGTCATTACCACCTGCCTGGGAGTGTCTCTATCATTACCACCTGTCACCAGGGTGTCTCTATCATTGCCACCTGTCCTGGGGTGTCTCTGTCATTACCACCTGCCCTGGGAGTGTCTCTATCATTACCACCTGCCACCAAGTGTCTATCTCATTACCACCACCTGCCCTGGGAGTGTCTCTATCATTGCACCACCTGTCATAGAGTGTCTCTATCAATGCCACCTGTCCTGGGAGTGTCTCTATCATTACCTGCCCCTGGAGTGTCTCTATCATTACCTACCACCTGTCCTGGGAGTGTACATCATTACCACCTGTCCTGGGAGTGTCTCTATCATTACCACCTGTCCTGGGAGTGTCTCTATCATTACCACCTGTCTAGGGGTGTCACATCATTTACCTGTCCTGGGAGTGTCTCTATCATTCCACCTGTCCTGGGGAGTGTCTCTATCAATACCACCTGTCCTGGGGTGTCTCTATCATTACCACCTGCCTGGGGTGTCTCTATCGTTACCACCTGTCCTGGGATGTCTCCATCATTGCCACCTGTCACAGAATTGTCTCTATCATTTACCACCTGCCTGGGAGTGTCTGCCATTACCTGT